CGGAGGGCCGGCGGCGGGGCCAGCCAATCCCGCCGCCCCACACCGCCCCCAACCGCACCCCCCGCCCCAAACGGAGCCGGCCCGGGGGGGGGGAGCGCGGCAGACCCCCCTCCTCCGCCCCTCTCCCCCTGCTCGCAGCATCTCGCCCGGCAGCGCCGTGGGGGCTTTCCCCGCCCGGGCGCTGCACGCCCCTGCGGGGCGGGGACGGCAAATGAGGGGGTCCCGCCGGGGAGTGCGGGATGCGGAGCGGGGAGAGGGGGGCCGAGCGAAGGTGGAGTGCGGGAAGGGCTCGGCCATGGGGCCGGCTCGGCCGGGTGCTGCCCCGCCGCTGAGCCGGGACTGTCAGCGCCGCCGCCGGGATGCCCGGGGCTGGAAATCGGCACCGGGGAGATAAATGTGCTAAAATCCCTTAAATCAGGCACAGCAGCGCGCAGCCGGGAGCGGGACAAACCTCACCCGGTCACATTAGTTTGAAATAACTGTCTGGATCGGGAAAAAAAATAATTATAAAACAAATAATTGCGAGGCTCCGCGCCGACCCCGGAGACCGACGGGACGAGCAGGGCCCGGGCAGCGGGGCCGCGCCGAGAGGGCTGCAGGGCAGGGACGGACCCTGCCCGCTCCCCGGCCCGAGCACGGAGCCGGGCTGGGGCTGGCTGACAGCCCTGGGCCCGGGGAGCCGAGCCGAGCCGAGCCGGGCCAGGCACAAGGACCCTGGGACGGAGCACAGCTTTCCCGGTGGGGCTGCGACATCGCTAATAGTTTTTTTTTCCCCCCCAATCTTTTCCCCACAATCTCACACTTTTCTCTTAAAATAATTAATAACAAAACCCAAACATCACAGTTTCAATATTTGCAATTACTCGTGTGCTTTGGGGCGGGGAGCAGAGGTGCATCCCGAATCAACAGGCGCTTTCTGCGGAGTTTGTGCTGCAGCTCAGCGGCAGCAGCCGGGGCGCCGGCCTGGCTTCGCCACCCGCCAAGGTGCGGATAAACCGGTCCGCCTTTGGGGCGGAAAATAATAATAATAATGGGAAAGGCACAAACAACTCCCCGGAGCGCGGCCGGGCGCTGCTGCCTGTCCCGTTCCCCAGGCGCTCCTGTCCGGTTCCTCAGCCGCTGCTTTCGGGGAAAAAGGGAAACGCTGATGGCAATCCTTCAGCCCTCCTAGCTGGGCGCGGGGCGAGGACACCGTTCCTGCCCGGGATCGGGGCGGGAGCAGCCGCTCCGGGGCTCGCGGGGCAGCGGCCGCGGCTCCAGCCCGACGGCGCGGCCGGGACGTGCGGGGCTTGCGCCGGGCCCCACCGGGGGCTGCGGGCGGCCCCGGGGATGCTGCTGCCGCTGCTGCTGCCGCTGCTGCCCCCGGGGCCGCCCCCGCCCCGGGCGGGCAGCGCTGGGGGCTGGGAGCTGGAGCCGGCCTCCCCCGGCCCGACCGCCCCAGTCACTACGACGCCGGGGCTCTGACGTCACCCGTCACTGCCAAATTCGCCAGGAAATGAACTTTTAAAAAAATAATAACAATAATAATAATAATGATGGCAATAATAATAATAAAACTGCTTTTCCTCGCTGCGGAGCACGCCTGGTCGGAGCGACGTGGGGGTCCCTCTCTTACTATTCTCCCCCCACACCCCTCGTTGTCTCCCTGTAAGCTTCCCCCAAGGGACCCTGAACGCAGCCCCCGGGGGAACCCACATCGGGGGCCATACTGGGGGACCTAAAGGTTGGCACAGGGGGAGGCGATTACGGTCCCCCCCTCCCCCTCCGCTCTCCTCTGCCGCCTCCTCCGCCCCAAGCCCGGGTGTCCCGCTCCTCCCGGCCCCTGACCTCGGGGCTGCGCGGTGGCGCCGGGACCGCGGCGCCCCTGGCCCCCTCCTGCCGCCGCGGGGGGGTGGCAGGCGGCGGGGCCAGGCAGCAGCTCCGCGGAAGGGGCGGCGGAGCCGGGCTGCTCCCGGGACGGGCGGGTTGGCCCGGGCAGGCCGGGGACAGGAGCGGGGCCGGGCTTGGTGCGAGAGGGGCCGGGGTTCGGGAGGGCAAATGCGCCCCGCGCTGCGGAGCGTGCCCGGGAGCCTCAGCCCGGTGGTGACCGGGAGGAAAGGGAAACAAAGCAAAAAATGGAAAAAAAAAATAAATATATATATATAAAAGGGAAAGTTAAAAGGCAGAGAGAAAACCAAGCGGGCTTTCCAAGAATCCGGCTTCTCCCTCCGAAGCGATTTTCATTCTACATGCACCAAAATCACCCAAGTATCACCCGAGAGTGGATTTTTTAATGTTTTGAAAGAAAGGTGACGATAAAACCAACGCGGGCCTTTGCAGGTAGATCCCCTCGGCGCCTCTTTGTACCCAGCGCCGGAGGCGGCCGGGGCCGGGCGCGCCGTGCCCGTGGAGCCCCGGCCGCTGGAGCAGGGCGGCGGCCACCGGGATCACCGGGGCCCCGCCGGCTCCCGCTCCCGCCCGCCAGCGAAATCCACCTCCTCGCTACACGCTTATTAATTAATTTGGATGTTTTAATTACTGCCCTGCTGCCATCAGCACGGGGACGAGGGGGTTTTTTGGGGGTTATTTTTTATTTTTTTTTGGGTGGGGGGAATGGGGTGGGCTGTTTGTTTTAGGCAGGTGATAAAATCGCAGTTAACGAGCTGATAATTCGTTCGTGTTTGTTTTAAAAGACAAATTGTAAAGATTAATCAGGCGGCTTGATTTATGGCGAGGCAGACCCCGGCGCTGCCCGGCCAGGGCTCCCTGAAGCCCCCGTCTCGGGTTACCCGAGGCCCGGCAGGCGAAGGAAAACAAAAGGGGCGAGCGGGTGGCGGCGGCGGCTCCGGCTCCTCGGGACCGGCTGTCCCGGCGCCCGCCCCTCCTCCGGCCCGGGGGTCCGGCCACCAGCTCCCCGCCGCCGGGTGCGCTCCTCCGGCGGCCGGCGCCTCTCCTCGCACCCACCTCTCGCCTCCTGCAGCCCCTCCCCTTAAAACCCTTTGTGAAATAAATGACCCCTCCAGCAGGGATGAAAGATTTCTGCTGAGAGCCCGGCTGAGCTGGGAGATTTCCTAACCGGCCGGCTCGCAGTATGTTGGTTTATTTTGTTTTATTTTATCATTTTATCCAATTTTTTTGTTTTGTTTTAAATTCCCGACGTGTCCCGTCCCCGCTGCCTGGCTCTGGCGAACCGGCTGCCGGCTCTGCTCTCGGCCGCTCAACGCCCCGGCGGCACGGCGGAGGTTTTTAATTGAATTAATGCACCCACCGGGAGCGGCAGCGAACTGCGCTGGCTGCTGGAGGCGAGCGGCTTAGCTCCGCTCCGCAGCCCGCCGCTCACACGGCTGGTTAAGCAGCTCTTCCCTCAATTTTCTGCCAAAGCTTCCCCGGAGAGGGTCCGGCCGGGCCCCGCTCCTTCACCCCGCGCCTGCCAAGCCCTTTTTACCTTCTTTCCCCCACCTTCTTCCCCCGGGCACTACGGGCTCCGTTTTATTACCTTTATTTTTATTATTATTATTGCTGTTGCAATTTATTTTTCTCTTTTAATAAGGGAGCTTTCCCAGATCTGGGAGCACAACTGGTTATTTTGATTTGATTGACAAGTGATGTCATATCATTAAGGGAGGGGGAGACGACAACATGCTTTAGCAACAGTTAGCGGTGCCATGTGATAGAGTTGACACCTATTCTCGGGCAGGGGAGAAGGCAGAAAACAAATAAGCCGGCGCCGCACACGGACCATTTATTTACATGTCCGGAGAGGGGATTCTTCCTCTTTTTCCCCCCCTTTCATTCTGGGTATTTGGATCTGGGAAAAAATGTACCTGAGAAGAGCCCGCAGACCCAGGGCACGTTCCTGCAGACGCGCCTTCCTGGGGTGCCCCAGGGCCACACTCTGTCCCCATGAACGGAGAGCGGGGGCCGAGACCTCCCGAGCAGCGCTGCCCGCAGCCTCCCCGAGGTGCAGCCCGCAGACGGCAGCAGGGAGGGCAGGAAAACTCCGTGAAAAGAAAGGAGAAGAGGGAGAGAAGTGCTCAGCGCACGGGGCCGCGGCGCTGCCGGAGCCGGCGGGCGGTGTGAGAGCCCCGGGCGGGCTGGGCAGGGGGCTGCTCCCGGCGGGGAGGGGGCTGCCAGGCTCTGCTGTGGGCGACCCGCCCCTGCTCCCCCGCAGGCTGCGGCTCCCACCCGGCCGCAGGTGGGAGCCCCGGCCCGCCGGTCCCTGCGAGCACCCCTCACACCCGTATCGGGTCTATTGCCTTGGATTTTTTGGGGGGAGAGAAAGTTTTTGCTTTCTGCCTTAAAAAAAAAAAAAATCGCGGTGTTTTCGGCCCTCCGGTCTTGTCTCCGCTTTGCTTCTCTTCTCCCCCGCTTCCCCCGTCCTGCGTTACTAGCTAGCATTAATGGCTCCTGATGGGGTTGTAAAGTGACACAGTTACCTCGTAACCACAAGACCCTGACTTAAACTGCATTAAGAAAAAACAAAAAGAAAAACAAAAATTTAAAAAAAAAACCCGCTAGAGATACGACTAGGGGAATAAATCACGGAAATTTTTTTTTCTTGCTTTTGTAAATAAGCTATCCTCCATCCCGCGGGGGATTTCTGCGGGGTTTGTACCCCACCGTGGGAACCCCGGTCCCAGTCTCGCTCCTGCCTTCACCTGCGCTTTGTCCGCAATTTGCCGGGTGCCCGCAGCCCCCCGGCTCGCTAGGCTGCAAGAGAAAGGGGAGGAAAAGCCCCAAGCAGACCCCAGCCTGCCCACAAAACCGCCTTTTGTGTAAGTTCCCGAAGAGAAATGCGTGCGTGGGGAAAGGGGAGGTTACACACGCGCAGCTTTGTCCAGAAAAAGGTATAATTCTCTTTTTCAGGAGTTGCCAGGAAAGATTTCGTTTTCAGGATCTCTCTTTAATTTGATGTATGTATGTATATATATATATATATTTTTTTTTTTTTTTCCTTTCAGGGTTATTTCGGAAGGAGCTGTTGCAGGAGGGAGGAACGAGGCCGAGCCCGCAGGTTTGATTTGTTTTTCCTCACGCAAAACTTTGGTGGGGAGAGACCGACCCGGCACGGAGAACGGGACTCGACTCCCGCCCGCGGCCGCCTGCCCGGAGCCGCGGGGCTGAGCCAGGCCGGAGCTCAGACTTCCGAGGAAAAAATATTTGCGTTTAATAAAGATGCTCCGTGCGCCGGGGAAGAACAATCCCAGCCGCCGAAACTCGCACTCCCTTAGTGAAATCGCTTTTCTTATTGAAATCGCATCAAAACCAGGCACGCTGGACGCTTCTCCTTTTTTTATATTTTTTTTCTTGCCTTCCAGCATGAGCACCCCAAAGCAAAAGGAGGATAAAGAGGGGAACTTTGCACATACAAAAACAGAAGAAAAAAAAAAGGCGATGGGGTGAAAGAGTCGGCGGAGAGGAGCGGCCGTGGCCCGATGTGCCTGGGTAATTTTAAATCATGCAAAGCCCCGTAAAGCTGCCGCACGGGACTGGGACGGGAGGACTCCCCGGCAGGCAGGTGCAGAGAGAGCGGGGCCGGGCCCTGCCGGCTTTCGGGGCAGAACAAACCCTCGCATCTTTTTTTTTTTTCTTCTCTCTCTCTCTTTTTTTTTTTTTTTTTTTTTAATGCCCAAATCTGCCAACAAAGGGAGAGACGAGATAGGATGTAGCTGCGGGGAGGGGACGCAGGGCTCTCTGCACACCCTGTCTCCGGGAAATCTCTGCCTGGCCGCCCTGGGTGAAATGCAACTTTCCAAGATGGAGATTTAAATAATCACCCCAGTGACAATGGGGAAAAAAAAAAAATCAAAACAACCAAGCAGGGCCCGGCGGCCGCGCTGCCCGCGGGGCGCGGAGCGGGGAGAGCCCCGCGGCCGGGCAGAGCCGGGCAGCCCCCGGTGCCCCCGGGCGTTCGGGCGCTGCTCCGCGCTCCGCCCGGCCGGCTCAGCCCGCGAGGTTCGGCCGTGCCGGGGACGTCTTTTCGTTCTTTACGAACCCTGCCAGATTTGTCCCTGGGGAAAACCGCCCCGAGGGAAGCGCTCCCGCAACGGGACCCGCGCCTCGCTGCCGGCAGGGCCGCGCAAAGCCGCGCAAAGCCGCGCTGCCGCGGCCCCTTACCTTGCCTCTCCCGGCTGTCCTCGTTTTCCTTTCAGTTCTCCGCACGGTGCAGGGGAAGCGCCGGTGGTGCCGCGGGCTGGGAGGGCTCGGCGGCCGGAGCTGCCCTCGCCGGGAGCGGCGGTGCCGCGGGCGGAGGGTGCGCGCAGCCCGGCCGAGGGGCTGCCGCCTGCGCTGCCTCAAACTGGCAGCAGCTCCGAGCTGAGCCCTTTTTTTTTTTTTTTCCTCCGTTCCCTCCTTCCCCCCTTCCCTTCCTCCCTCCTCCCTCCCTCTCCTTTCCTCTCTCCCTTCTTTCCCTCCCCTTCTCTCTCTCACTCTCCTGCATTCGCGGATGGCACAGCGAGCCGCTGTGTATTTATGTACATAATACGGCAGCTCGTCCCCTCCACTTCATTTGCATCATTACAATATCTGTACAAGCACATCACATTGTCTGTTGCTTGCACCTTTTGTTACGGTTGCTGTCACAGTCTACGCGACTTGACTTTCATATTTTAAATGAATTGATATTATACCAACAACACGCACTCACATCCCAGGCGCAGGGAAACCGGGCTCCGGGCTCGGCGCCGCAGCCCCAGCCTCTCCCGAGCCTCTCGTTTCTTCCTCTGAACCCAGGGAAGGTGGGCTGGGGGGGAGACGCTTCGTCGGATCAATTATTCCTATAAATTACTCCTAGTCGTATTAATTTTCTTTCCCTCTCTAGTGAAGGAAATGGGACTCTTGGATTTTTTTACATAGACCAGCCTGGTTTTTGCATAACCTCATGCTTCTTCTCACACCTTTCCCTTCCAAATTCAGCCTTTCGGGCTATGCACCTGCACGTAAGTGAGGCAGCAAGAGAAGCTGGAAGAGGCACAAGCAAATATTACACGCCGAGTCGTTGTTATAGCTAGGAAACAGACGGTAAAATACAGATTTCGTAGAGCGCTAAGAAATCCAGCCAGAACGAATATTTTGGGAAATGTTTGCGCTCCCCAGCCCTGGCCCGGCAGCCCTCACCTGCCGGGTGTTTCCCTGCCGGTGCGTGTGTGCGCGGGGCTGCGCTCCCCTCGGCCGCTCCTGCCCGGGCTGACGGGCGCGGGGGTCGCGGAGAGGCGGCTCGGGGGGCGCGGCGCCATCCTCCAGAGGGGGGGACAGGCGGGACCCCCGCCCGAGGCTGCAGGAAAACCGTATTAATACAGAAACAAAGGCCGGACCGTCCGGTGGGGGCCCTGCGGGTGGTGGGGTAACGAAATATGGTTCGGGAAGGGAAGGAGAAAAGTTTCGCGGGAGAGGAATTATCATCATAATGGAGGTAAAAATGTGAGCAGGGAAAAGAGGGGGGGGATCCTATTCTGCTGGCATTTTCTGTCTGTCTTTGTGATATGGTTCGGGGGAAAAAGGGTCCTTGATATGCGGCAGATAATTCTTATCAGCCCCACGCAGCCCATTTCCAAAGTAAGTGTTTTAATTACTCCTCCTGTATTACCCTTCATCCTCTGAGAGAAGATACATCACCAGATTTATGCAGGGGAAAAATACAAAAGAATGTGGTATTAAAATACATACATACATAGATCCCCTCTTTTTTCCCTTGTGCCCAGGAACAGGGAGACGCTGTCGGCAGCCGCGTCCTGGGATCGCCCGGCACGGAACGACTCCAAAACGAGGAACTGTCGCTCAGGCGGAAAAACTACGGGAAAAGTGGGGTTTGAAGGCTGCAGATTTTTCCCCAAGCGGGGTCAGGCGGGGGTGTGCGAGCCGGGGGCTCAGGGGGCCGAGAGCGGAGCAGCGCCCACCCGAGCCGTCCCGGGACAGCCGGGGTCACCCCCCACGTGCCACCAGAGACACGGGGGGTCCGCCGGGCAGGGAGTCACGATTTTCCCCTCATGCCCGCTGGAAGAGAAGGATGTTTTTCTTTCCCGTTAAGCTTTCGTACTAAAGATGTCATATGAAAGTCTGAGAGGAAGGGGGGACCGTGCTCTGCTCTTTTTCACGGTAACAACCATATCATATTGAAAAATATGATGGACAGTGGGGGAAGATTTCCTCCCCCATTAAAAAAAAAGAAAAAAAAGAAAATAACCCCAACCTTTTCAATATTGATTCAAAAAAAAAAAAAAAGGAGAAAATTTTAAAAGAGAAGAAGCAGCACCAGCAGCAAGGAGAATATAGGCTCAGCAGCTCTCCAGGTTAGCTTCCTTATTATTACTATCCAGGGGTAATTTTTCATCTCTGCTAGCTAATCTTTGTTCCTTGTGAAGATAATGAATAGCCCAATCCTTATCTCCTGGGCTCCTGGAGGCTGCTGTAGAATGGGGTTGAACAGGGTTGAAAATTGGTTCCAAAGTGCTGCTGAATAAATGGTGTTCCTTATCTCTCGCTTCCAGATTATCGGAACCCTTTCAAAACTCACACAACAAATACAGCCACCGCATCTAATGCATCATTTACCAGAGCAGATCTCCGCGTTTGATCGGCAGATAGGCAAAATCTATGTATTCCTTGCTTTACTTAGTATGCATGGATGCGGGGCTGCTGTGCACCGGGGCTGCCCCCGGCCGGGCCCGGGACACCCCCGAGGCTCTTGGCACACGCCGGTCTTCCCTGCGGATTCCGTGCGGTGACAAAGTGTCCCCTGGCCATCCCCGACCCAGGGCAGCAGGGTGGGACAGCAGCTCACTGCGCAGGGTGCTGCCACACAGCCTGCTTGGAAATTTGGGTTTGCTCTGCTGAGGCACCGGTGGATTTGCAGGGATGGGAGAAGAGTTGTGAACATCAACCCGGGCACCTCAGGCACCTGCTGGAACTCACTGCTGCACCCAGAGCCTCCTTCTCCTGCATCCCTGGGCAGGCAGTGCCTCAGGAGTGATGAAGAGTGTGGCAGCACCTCTGTCCCCATGCAGAAAGCCACGTCCAGGCTCAGCTGTGTCCCAGTCCTGCCCCAGCCCTTAGCTGGGTCAGTCTAGTGAAAACTCCCAGGGCTCCCCCAGCTTGTTCCCCCCAAACCCTGCCCATGGAGCCCTGGCAGTCCTTGGGTCCTCCACGGGCTGGGCTGGGCGATCCCTCCAGCTCTCAGCCACAGGCACAACAGGGCACCTGAGACAGCCCAAATTTGGGAAGAAATTGGTGATTCTGAGGGACAAAAATAAACCTCACAGAAAGGGAGTTATTTGCTCCTAGAGTTAGTGTGAAGTCTGTCCCTTCCAGCTCAGGACAGTATCAGATTTTTCTTCCTTTCTTTCTCCCTTCCTCTGTTTTTCGATTTCTCTCTTTATTTCTTGTTTCTTATTCTGTCTTTTTTTTTTTCCTCCCAAAACCTATCTACATAACAGTAAATGCCTTCCAGTCTGGGTGTGCAGCCCCCAGCTCCAGGACAGGAGATCCCCCAACCCAGAGGCAGGGACAGATGTCCCTTTGGCTTACCCAACCCTTCTTTCCTCTGGCAGTACCTGAGCTTGTGCCCAGGAACCAGACAAGGAAACATTTTATTCTGCAGCACATGACATTGCCAGCACTGCCCTGGAGCCCCGGACCAGGGGGACAGCAAGATTCTGGCTTGGGGACAGGACACCCACAGTCTCCTGGTCCCCTCTGCCTGTCCAGCAAAGCTCATCTCCTGCCTGGAAAGAGAGAGAAACTTTCATGGGATGTTGCAGGCAAGCAGCAGCCCCTGCCCGCGCTTGAAAGTTTTGCAAATGTTCAACTTGTACTAATTTTGTATGGCTGTATTCACAGTTGTTCTCTGTAAAAAATGGACCTGTGTTAGTTTATTAATAACCTAAACATTACGCATTAAAGACCTATGAGTGACACAAGATGACAAAAAGCTGTATTTTTCCAATATACACAAGCACACATTTAATAACCTTCTATTGCATCTCAGCTAGGCCTTCTCTCTGATGGTTCCCATGGCAACTGAGATAAAAAAGCAGCCATTTTCCATATCTCTATGAAAGTCTATTATATTGCAGGATTAGTTCATCTTCTGCTAAGGTCAAACACAAAGTCATACAACCTGAAATATTTAGAATCCATGTACATTCATTTTTTTATATGCCCTTTCATTTTCCACAAAAGACTGGGCTCCTCTGAGGTTTTATTCCCCAGAAAATGCTAAGCAAAGCAATAAAAAAATCATGATTAGCAGCTGATGAAAAGTTCAATTGTTTTTTTCTCTCTCTCTTTTTTTTTCCCCTCTCTCTCTCTCTCTCTCTTTTTTTTTTTTTTTCCCCTTAAAAAAAAAACCCCACTATTGTTGGGCAGATAGTGCCTTCCCCATTTATCTCTATCAGCAGCCGTGATTGCAGCCGATACCTGCCGCCTAATTGGGCTGGGAGCGATTCGCAGGCGGACGGCGGCACCTTCTGGCAGCGGCGGGCGCGGCGGGGCCGGGACACGGCGGGTGTCGGGACCGGGACACGGCGGTGCCAGAACCGGGACACAGCGGTGCCAGAACCGGGACACGGCGGGTGTCAGAGCCGGGACACCGCGGGTGCCAGAACCGGGACACCGCGGGTGTCAGAAGCGGGACACGGCGGGTGTCAGAGCCGGGACACCGCGGGTGTCGGAACCGGGACACGGCGGGTGTCGGAACCGGGACACCGCGGGTGTCGGAACCGGGGCCCCGCTCCGCAGCCCGGCCCCGGCAGCCAGGCTGAACCCGAGCTCGCCCGGGGCTCCGGGTGCTCCGCACTGCTCGGGGCTGCTCCGCATGGTAACAATTCATAGAATCCCTCCGCGGGCTGGGGATACCGGAGTGTGTGTCTGCTTCTTTCCGCGGTGATTAAACGTTTTTACGCGGGTGCCAGAGCCGGGGCCCCGCTCCGCAGCCCGGCCCCGGCAGCCAGGCTGAACCCGAGCTCGCCCGGGGCTCCGGGTGCTCCGCACTGCTCGGGGCTGCTCCGCATGGTAACAATTCATAGAATCCCTCTGCGGGCTGGGGATACCGGAGTGTGTGTCTGCTTCTTTCCGCGGTGATTAAACGTTTTTATTTAGTAGTGCAAGTGGGTTCACAAAGCCTCTCACCTGCAAGTTTTAGCTATTGAAGGCTTGCAGAAAAAAAATAAAAAATTAAAGTGTTACACACATCTGAGTGGCTCCCGTGAGCCCTGATCTCTCTGCAGGAAAGCGAAGTCACTTTGCTTTTTTTTATGAAGGAGTTGGCAACGTAATTCAACCAGGTCCTGGTGACACCTCGAAATGCAATAAAGTAAAACCTGGGCAGCCTTCAGACAGTTTGAATGGTGACAAACATGTTATCACCCGTGCCATGAAGAACTATGGCCCACTCTTTTTCCAAGGTCACTCCTGAAAACCTGGGAAATCAGGGGAGAGAATTTGTGTATGTGGCCATTCACACTTGTGGCTTTGTTCACAGATATATGCTGCAATGTGACATTCGTTCCAGCCCCCTTTAATGTGGAAAAGTAGACACTCTGGAAATGGAGAGAAGCTCGAGAGTGGCAAAAGGATGGAAGAATTTTTTTTTCTTTCTTTTCCCATCCCTCCATCCCCAGGAGGCCCCACAGGGGTGTCCCAGTGGCCCCAGCCACGCTGTTGGAGGAGCTCAGGAGGGGCCAGGTGGGGGCTTTAGCAGGGATGGTGCATTCCAGTTTGTTCCTACACCTGCTGCAGAGAGGGGCAATGGGATTGGGAGACAGGAGCTGCTGTGGGCAAAGCCAAATCCCAGCCTGACCCTGCGTTCCCTCTCTGCCTCAGTTTCCCCCTCTGCCTCAGTTTCCCCCAGCCTGGGTGAGGACACAGAGGTGTTGCCAGAGTCAGCTCGTGCCCAGGGTGTTCTCAATAAGCTGTTTGCAGTAGGTGTTGCACAGCAGCTGCCAGAGCCATGCCCACCTTCTGAGGGCAGGGAGCAGCCCCTGCTCCCAGCAGCACACCTGGGAGGGAATGCCCCAGCTGGGCACCTACCAACCAGGGCACCTGTGCACCCATAAAACCTACACCTGCACCTTCCCCTCCCCCTGCTTTCTGCTCCTTTGCGGGGAGAGCAGGTGGCTGCATTTTTAGAACTAAAACAAACCTACATATTTTTAAACTTTAGATCCTGGGATTTGGATCTTTAGTGGTTTGGGGTTTTTTTTAAGGTGGATGTATGTTTTAGTCTCAAAGTTTGGACTAAAGAGAAGAAGGCTGGAAATGTGTCCTGAGCTGAATATTTGAAATTTGAGGAATTGAGCCCATCACCAAACACAGGTGGGTTTCTTTTTTAAGTCTTGTGGTTTCTTTTCTCCCCTACTTCATCCTTGCCCTCCTGGTCAGCAGCTGACGTGGTGCTTACATACCTGAGGTATGTGGTCCTGAGAAAGTCTTTAGAAATCTGGGAGTAATTGCATCCTTCAGCTTAAAAAAACATGTTTGAGCATGGTGTTAGCACCCTCTTCTTGGGGCAGTGGTCTTTTCTCACAGCTCTGGCTCTCTCCTGACAGCTGCTGCTGTGACAGGCAGGGGCTAAGCTGCCCCGGTGCTGGTGGTGTGGGTGCTATGGAGGGTCTGTGACAGAGCCCACAGTGAGCACTCCTGTCCTCCAGCAAGGGGGGATGTTTGTGTGCTGCTGCCCACTGGGGCTGTGGGAACAGGGATGGTGCTGGGGACCTTGGTGAGAGCTGTTCAAACTCAGCAAAAATGGGGAAAACAAGTCTCCTTTGGGCTGCAAATATTTAGATTTTTTTTTCTAGTGTCCAGTTAGTGCTGGGGTGAGCCTGGAGGATGTGGGGCTGCTGGCTTTTTCCAGGAGCAGGGTGGCTGTTCCTGCTGGGAGAAGGGGGCTCCTTCCAGCCCCAGGAGCTTGGGAGGCTTGGCAGTGCCAAGGGGGTGCTCTCTGCTCCCCTCCCCAGTGAGCCAAATGCTCTGTGCTTCGTTCAGGGCCATGGTGAATGCCCCAGTTTGGCCCCTGGTTGTTTTTCTGTCTCTCAGTGACATCTGGTGCATTGCTGTGAGTTCCCAGAAAGAGGCCCTGATGGAGGATGTCAGGGTAGGAAGAAAGGAGCTGACCTTGCTATTAAAAGGCAGCAGAAATTGAAATGTTTCAGGCTGTTTCTAGCAGACATGTCTGGGAAGAAAATCTCCTTGCTCTGCTCATCAGGCCCTCATGGGCAGCTTTTCTCTGCTAATTGTTCACTTGATACTACACTGGAGATGCTTAATTTATCCTTGCCCCCACTGTATGCCTAAAGAGATCACGTGGAGTTTGAGAGGGAGGTGAGTCCTACTGATCCCTCAGGACTTTGGAGGATTCTGGTCTTACAGTGGCACCAAGAGCCCTGCTGGTCTTGGATCAAAGATGTTGGTCTTGAATGGGAAGAGTTCAGGCCCCAGCCCTGCTTTGTGTCCTAAGCAATCCTGTTGGATCCAGTTCAGCAGCCCCAGCAACATCTCTTTAGAGAGGGAATTTCTTGCAAATCTCTGATCCCTGCTCTGAGCAGGGTCCTGTGGAGGACCCCTTGCCATTGTATGGCTGCTCCTTGTGATGTGGGAGAAGTCCAGTAATTATTGAGATTGGCAAGAATAAGCTTTGCTTACAGCTTGAGATGAATGAATGCTTTAAACTCTCTTGGCTTTTTGGCTGAAATCAAATGTGGCATCAGTGTAACATCTGTATCCATTATCTGGGGAGTGGAAGACTAACCTTGCTTGATGCAAGGCATGAACTTGATTTAAAAGGCCTTTGCTTCAGTTTTGCTCCGCAGTGCTGAGCAATCCTGCTGGGTGATTCTGGGGAAGCAGAGGCTGCTCTGCCTGGAAGGGAAGGGGAGGAGGAGGACAGTGCTGGATATTTGGAGAATGAAGGGAGCAGCGAATGTGGAATGTGACTGGGGGTCGACCTGTGTGCTAGAGGACAGCGTGGGTGTGGTGACAGCAGTGACAACAGGCAGCCATGGGCATGGAGACAGACAGTCCCTGCTGGCCACAGAGAGACCATCTCCCTGTAGGATTCTTACAGTGGCACCAAGAGCCCTGCTGGTCTTGGATCAAAGATGTTGGTCTTGAATGGGAAGAGTTCAGGCCCCAGCCCTGCTTTGTGTCCTAAGCAATCCTGTTGGATCCAGTTCAGCAGCCCCAGCAACATCTCTTTAGAGAGGGAATTTCTTGCAAATCTCTGATCCCTGCTCTGAGCAGGGTCCTGTGGAGGACCCCTTGCCATTGTATGGCTGCTCCTTGTGATGTGGGAGAAGTCCAGTAATTATTGAGATTGGCAAGAATAAGCTTTGCTTACAGCTTGAGATGAATGAATGTTTTAAACTCTCTTGGCTTTTTGGCTGAAATCAAATGTGGCATCAGTGTAACATCTGTATCCATTATCTGGGGAGTGGAAGACTAACCTTGCTTGATGCAAGGCATGAACTTGATTTAAAAGGCCTTTGCTTCAGTTTTGCTCCGCAGTGCTGAGCAATCCTGCTGGGTGATTCTGGGGAAGCAGAGGCTGCTCTGCCTGGAAGGGAAGGGGAGGAGGAGGACAGTGCTGGATATTTGGAGAATGAAGGGAGCAGCGAATGTGGAATGTGACTGGGGGTCGACCTGTGTGCTAGAGGACAGCGTGGGTGTGGTGACAGCAGTGACAACAGGCAGCCATGGGCATGGAGACAGACAGTCCCTGCTGGCCACAGAGAGACCATCTCCCTGCTTCAGTCTCCTTTCAGCTGTGTGTGGCAGCTTGTCTCCAAAAGCCCAAGCAGTGCCTCAGCAGCAAAGGCATAAATCATCCCAGGTGCCTCCTACCTGTGCTCTGTGTGTGCTGCACAAGGCTCTGGCTTTGTGCAGGGCCTGGATGAGCTGGGAGCCAGCACCCACAGTGTGGGTGATGCAGGGGGCTTGGTAGCAGCCACCAGGGCCAAGGATTTAAATGAGCAAGGCCAGGAGCACAGGCAGCTGCTCTTGACTTCAGCCACAGTGCTTCCATTGCTCAGACCAAGGTTTTCCAGCCACTGCCTGTGGACATGTCAGTGGTGCTGCCACCAGCTGTCCCAGCAGGACCACGGTGTGGGAAGCATCAATACAGCAGCTTCCAGAAGCCACGGGCACAGAACAGGGACCAAAGGCTTTCTGAGCTCTGCCTTCAATGCTTTTTGATGATGAAAGTGATTCCTGTGGAATATCATCACAAGCTCTCTGGTGCTGAGCATGGGTGGGCACTGCC